TGTCTTTGTACCGTACTTTTAAAAAAAGAAAACAGCTGACTTTGATTTAAAAAGTAAAATCCAAAGATTTTTTCAGTGTCTCGCTTATCCTTTTTGCAACTAATAAAAGGAGATTCGAATCATGATGACTTTATATGATGGTTGGTCATATTAGTTCCATAACCAAAGTTTTATATCTTTTCCTAAAAACATCCTGTGCATCTTGTTTGTGTGCTCATCAATTTAGATCCATCCAGATGCATCCAGATGTTTAAAGGAATGTTTCTGATTACACTTTAAGACACAATCTAGTAATAAACTCCATGATTTCTGCCTATTTTTTATTTTTTTTGTAAGAGCAATAATGTGACAATGCAGTTTTTTCCCTCTACTTTTCATTTATCTTTGATGCTGTAATTCTGATGATGCTTGGACTTACCTATAACTTTTGGGAAAAATCAAGCAAATAAGAAGTCAGATTAAGTGTTTGGGAACCGATAACAGGACAAGCATTAATATCTAATTTATTTCTTAATTGACCTATGCAACCTCTGATAAGAAGCAGAAAGGTTTTGACGAGCCAAAACTGTGTGATTTATAATTGTTAGTGGGGACAAGATAGAAATGATACTTCTATTGGTAGTTAGCGCCATAGCCTCATAGCATCTGGGTCATAGATTTGAGGGTGTCTGGGCTCTTTTTGTGTAGAGTTAGTGTATGTTCACCCTGTGAACATATGGGTTCTGACCCCCATTGCAAAAACATGCAAATGATGTAATTTTTGCGATTTTAAATGAACCAGGGGAGAGGGTGTTTGCATGGTTGTGTGTCTCTGTGTACCCTAGAGATGAACGGGTGACCACAGTTACTATTGATTTTGGCACCAGTTCGTAAAATCAATCAATGGACAGAGCGGAAGACCCAAGAAATTCCCAAAAATTTTGATTTAAAACACTTGCTATGTGTTTTTTAAATGTATGTGTCATATATATACACAACATCTTTGATATAAACTTTATGAACAAAAAGCTAAATAATCCCTCATGAAATCCTTGATATATTACATTTTTGCACGGTAAAGCACCTTGTTTAAACTAATAATAGACTTGTTTTGACACGTAAACAAACTGTGCATAACCCTAACCCACTGAACGATTCTAAGCTTAATTCTATCCCTAATTTGTCAGTTGCGAGCTTGAACACTGTGGCAAATTTGCTTTTATTTGCAAACAAAGACGACAACTCATCAACGACTCGTGGCACAAGGCCGCTTTTTCGATTAGCCTGTTTTTACCTCCCGATGTGCAAAGTGCTGCGTTTCCAGCAGCAAAGCAACAGCTCTTTAGCGCCAGCACATACAGGTATCACACTCAATCCAGCACAGATGTGAAACCCTTTGGCTGGATCGCAAGTAAATAACGTCAGGACAACTGAAACAAACGAGGAAATTCATAAAACTGTGACAGAGCACAGAGAAATTGATCACTTTATAAGTTTTTTGGACACTTGAGGGCAGCAGAACGAGTTGTGACACAACATTGGATGATTTTGTTTTGGTCATTATGGCTCCAAAAAGATTAAAGCTCTCTAAATAGCTGAGATGTGCGGAGATAATTCTCTTTTTGGTTTGTTATTTGGATAGACCACTTCCACATTACACATGTTTCTGTTCATCTTCATTGTGCAAAAGTATTCAGCAAACCTCTTTGTATAATTTCAAAGTGGTCTCGAGCAATAGTTCTCCAGGATTTTTGAAGATCTAACCATTTCAACTTTAACATTTGCTTAATTTAGCCTTAGTCCACTCCTTTCACTTGAACATTTAAGAGGGATATGTTATGTGTAACTAACTGGAATGATGAACCGGTACAATGGAAAAGCCAAATTTAATCAGATCTTTAAATGGTCCTTTTGTAAAACAGCCTCATAAAAAAATAGACGTATTTTGTTCCCATTTATGTCTGTGTTTGTATGAGAAATATAAAAGATGGCAATGAAGTTTAACAAGGAGGCTGAAAAAGAGCTGTTAGCTAAAAAAAACTTCTGTTTCTCTTGAAAAATCTGAAGTGGAGAATGCACTCTTAAGAGATGAAAACGGTAAGAAAAGACAGAGGTATGTAAACAATGAGACTAGAACTGTAAATCAGTGCAACAGGTCCTCTGAAGGAAACTAGTAATTCTCACCAGGGCTGGTATCGCACTAATAATGATGTTTCAGAAAATTGATTTTATTTTAACCATACTATTTAACTATTTTTGTATTTCAATATGTGATTTGTGGACTGCAACACCCATTTCCTGTTATGTAGTTGATGTGTAAAGAAATAAGAGATGGTTCAAAACATTTACAAAATACTGTTAACATGTGGAAAAGAAAGAAAATGGAAAAAAGAAGCATGCCCCTAAATTTTCCTTGGCTAACTTTAAACAATAACACTGTTTTCTGTATATAATGTATATCAGAAGACAAATAAAAAGTGCTCTTTAAGGTGGAAACTACCTATTCTACCTGTCATGACGCAGAAACATATTCTGCATTTGCTACAAAACTGCCATTTTAGGGTAAAGTTGCCATTCAGTTCTCTGTCAGCTTCCTAAAAATCTACCCATGGCTCAATCTGTGGCTCATGTACCAGATCAAGAGTTTCTTTTTGCCCTGGAGAAAAGATTAATATCACCACAAAAATCCACAAACAAACTGTTGCTCAGTAACAACTACCATTCCAATTTGTACATTAATGTTGACAAATAGAATATACCATACTTCTAATCCCTCCAACAGGCTTCATATTTGAAGTTTCTCTTCCTCGTCTCCCTCCAAAGCCTGAAGATGCTGGTTCCTCTGACTCTCTACTCGTGTTTCTTTTGGTTCACACCATTACAGCCTGCCAGAAACACTCTATTCTCCTCACGTTGCATTTATTTCCCGACCAAGGAGGGTAAATGTTGTTGTCAAGACACCAGCTACTCTGTGATCAGACGGTGTCGGGTGCGAATATGATGTGCAAGACAACCCTCCAACCAAATGCCACCGAGAACAATCTGTGCACGTCTTCATTATGATCACGCCGGTGTGTGTTAATGAGAAGGCATCGTTATTTAGAAACCTTTACATACAAATGCATTTTCCCCACACTGGTGACCATGGATATATAGGCAAATAAGGGAAAAGGATTCACAGCTGTGGGTCTTATAGTGAGTGTGTCAAAGCAATCTTTAGTCGTAATTTAGCCCCATCAGAATCTCACAACCTCCTGGTGCCTTGGCTGGCCTAAAACAACCCGACATGAATAACCTTATCTCGAACAATGAGAATATTTTCTTTTTGTTCTTTTTTTATTTCCCCCCTTTTTCTTCTTTTTTTTCAATTTTTTCTATTTTCTAAATGTAAATTTTTAATTTTCAATTTATTTTATTTTGTTATTTTGTAAGAGAATTATTTTTTTTCCTTTTTCTTTTTTTTCTTTTTTCCCCTTTTTTTTCTTTTTCTTTCTTCTTTTTTTGTTTTTTTTCTATTTTTAAAATGTATTAAATTTGTTGTTTTGTATTTATTTTATTTTATTCTTTTTTAAGAGAACATTTTCTTTTTTTCTTTCTTTTTTTTCTTTCTTTTTTTTCTTTCTTTTTTTCTTCTTTTTTTCTTTTTTTTCTATTTTTAAAATGTATTAAATTTTCTATTTTTTATTTTTTTTATTTTATTATTTTTTTTAAAGAGAACATTTTCAGCTAGGGATCAGCCTCCTAAAACCTGCATGCTTACAGACAACCAAACTGATAAGAGACACTTTCGTTGAAATTGAGCGACAATCAGTAATTATGGAGAGGATTGCAAATGTGGAAACAAAAAAAAAATCAAGAATAAACTGCCAGGACGTGCAGAAAGTGGAGGTGGCTGCTGGAGACAAGTGCTTACAGTTTTCTGCAAACAGAGGACTGTGAAGTCGTTTAATTTAGAAGTGTTAATGCCAATAAACAGGCCTGCCTTTTTCTTTTTTTTTCTTTTTTTTTCTCATGAAGTAGGAGGAGGAGGAAGAAGAAGAAGAAGAGGAGGAGGAAGGCAGAGGGGTGGGGGGGGGGGGGGAGCAATTTAACGATACTTGGCTGAGTTCTGACGCCAGCACCCAAGTGATGTAAGAGACTGAGGGAGGGAGAAAAGCCGGGAAGGAGGAGAGAAGGAGTGGAGGAGGAGACGGAGTGAGAGAGAGGGGGCTCACGGCTCCGGTAGTCAGTTGCAGAGACCCAGACAGAGAGCAAGTCCCCAGCGGGGATCCTGACAGAGGTAGGCTTGGCTGGTTTTTTATCCTCCCGCTGTAAATGGCGCAAGTTGAGACACATTGCGATGCGCCAACTTTAATTGAAAGAAAAACGGGCAGAAATGCTCTTTCAAGCCGCCTTTAATTGGGGGCTACAAAGGCAATTGGTGTAGTGGTTAGAATCCAAACAAAACGCGACGATTTGCCACATTCTGAGCTTTCGGTGCCGCTGTTATTCGCGCAAACTGCGAACCCCAAAACGCCCTCAAATCCGCCAAGTTATTCGGACGCGCGCTAATGCTTTAATGACGTCTCTGTGACGTTCGGACAATGCCTAATGACTTCGTTTGGCTTATTTGTTTCGCCCCCCCAGACTTAACTTTGCTCCGGCAGGAACTGACTCGGTCCTCCTCCTCCCACCACCACCACCGGGACCTTGGACAGCGAACGCACCGGGAGATTTTGCGCACGGTTCCTCCGGGGGTCCATCCATCAGCTTCCAGCTCAGCCGGGATGCGCTTCTCTCCTGTCACCGCTCCTCTGAGCTCTGCAACGGACTTTAGTGCCTCCGTTGCGTAATGGTAGTGGACAGCGTGCCCTTCGCGACCGTCCACGCGGCCGTTTTCGGTATGACCGCTGCGCAAGGCGATGATCGAGTGCGGGGGAACTCGGTGGCCAAACTCGACTGAAACCCCTCTCTCTCTGTTTAACCACTGTTAAAGTGTCCCAGCAAGCGTTTTTTAAAGCCGTCCTATCCGTCCTGTTACCATGGGGATTAGGCACCTTTTGCTGCTGTTCATCTACTTGGACCCGCTGTGCGTCCTGAGCGCAACGACGGGCGCCAAAAAAGCCAAAGCGGCGCCCCGGAAGGCTGCCAAAGCCACCGCGGAGCCCACGGCGGTCCCGCAGAAGACCCCGCAGAGCAACCACGACACCTGCCTGGGCTACTACGACGTGAGCGGCCAGTACGACAAACTGTTCGAGTGCAACAACACGGACCACCGCTACTGCTGCGGGACGTGCTACCTGCGCTTCTGCTGCGAGTACAAGAAGGACCGTTTGGACCAGAAAGCCTGCAAGAACTACCAGACGCCCGGATGGGTCCAAACGGCAGCCCCGTCCCCGGTCCCCACCGACGAACCCTACTTCTCCACCATGGACCAGACCAACACGGCGGTCTACATCACCTGTGGGATCATTGCGTTCATCATAGTGCTGGGGGTGTCGGTCAAAGTTGCTTATGACAAAGCCACGGAGCCGCCTCAGGAAATGAACATACACAGGTAAGTGTATAAGCAAAACCTCTTTTCTATCCTACTCTAAATCGGCTTAACATGTAATGTGTTTCCAGTGTTTCTATCTTGCCTATTTTCTACCGTTTCTAGTCTAATTCCTATGATAAAAATCAAACATCAAGAGAAACGTTTGATACAAAAAGCTTTAGGCAGGCAAAAGTAAAGGCCCCGTTTTTGTATAACGGAGTCAAAGGTCAAACACAGTCTGAAAATGATGCCAAATGCAATTATTTCTATCAGTAAGTGTTATTTTTCTTTCCCTTTGTTGGAACTAATGGTGGTTTGTTTTAAATGGATGAAACGATTCTTATCTTCCTTCAGCAGACCCCTATTGCAAGGAGAGAAATGGTATAAAATTGACAGAATCGAAGCCCAAAATGACAGAAAAGGAGTTGAAATAGAGAAGTAAGGCTGACGCAGTTGCGTTTGAGCCTTGTGGGAGAGAGGGTCTCATTATCAATATATCTAGATAAACAAGCTTCCCACATGCTCGAATCTAAGAGTATCCGAGCTACTGAGTTTGTGACACAAACAAGTCAAGGTGACCATCTGTCAGGCGTCATCCTTGAGTGGTAAACTCTAAACCTTGGCTGGTGCCTTTTGCATATCGGGACATGGCTGTATGATGTGTTCGGGGGGGGGGGGGAAATGACAGGGTTGCAAACCTGCTCGGCTGTCCTCCCGGGACTCTGTGACATCCCTCTCCACCGGAGAACCACATGCCACGAATAGCTGCAAAAAGAAATGTATTTATTTAATTTTTTTTCGCTTTTAGATTGTCCTGTTTCCTTTTTTATCAAATGCATTATTCAACGTTCGAGCAATCGTAAGAATGTGAATAATGTATAGTGTTAATGTCGGGATGGTATCAAGGGCGGGGTGACGTGCATGTCAATAAGGAACAGGAAGGAGGTGGAGGAGGAGGAGGGGGGGGGGTGGTGGAGGTAAAATATTAATTCAAAAGCAAAGGTTACACCGCCGATACATTTGTCATACAAAAGCTTTGAGCTTGCAGCCCTGCGTGAGTAATTTGATTTCCTATTTCGGATGCGGTGCCAGGGTAAACAAACACTTTTTTTTAAAACTTTCTTTCATCACGACTGCTTCTCCCCATCTCCTCCACCCCCTCTCCCCCCCCCCCCCCCCCCTCGAGGGCTTCAGCCTTCCATATGCACCTGGTGCGGTCTGAAAAACATTCAAATTCAACCCAATTAGACAAGATGCTCGCACATCCAACGCTGTCTCTCTTGCAAATGAACATTCGTCATGTTCCCAAATGTAAGAAGAAAGAAAAAAAGAGAGAAAAAATTGAAATGGAAGTAACACAACTGTCCTGAATAACCCAGAACAGCACAACAGCTGACAGTCAGATGTGCAGACAACGATCTACTGCATACATCCATGTTTTTTTTCCCCCCTTTTCTGTGTCGTTTCAGGGCTCTTGCAGACATCCTGAGGCAGCAGGGGCCCATCCCCATTTCACAGTACGACTGTGAGAATTTCGCGGCGATGAACGGCTCCCCGAAAGACAACACCCCAGTCAGAACCTCCTCCAAGAACCACTACACCCCTGTTCACACCTCCAAATCCAACCACGGTAAGAGCTCATCTCGCTCCATACTTGGAGCTCTAAAGCATCTCAGGGAGCCAATTGCTTTAGATGTCAATACTTCTGGTCAAACGCAGACTGGAAAAATATCTATTCCCTTTAACCCTTTGTTTATTTTCCTCACTATGAACCTATTTAATGCATTTTCAGCATATGCTTCTTCTGCTTTCCCCATAAAAAACAGCACCCACCGTGCTTATCTTTTTACCAACTCCAATATCCTGTAATCATTCGATTTGAGCAAAAGAGAAGTGCGAAAGAAGAGCGACGGAGGGAAAAAAGAAAAGAAAAAGGGGGCCCTGTTAGTGGAGATAATTACAGGCTGGCAAAGGTAGCGCCACAGACTCTGACGGGGCTGGAAGTGAGTCGGCCGGTGAAATAGACCCGGAGCACGCCGCGTGATTTAACCCCGCAATTCTGAGAAAACGACAGGGAGAGTAAATCGTTAAAATGGCCACCCGAAAACAGGAGTCTGGGACTCCGGTCTGCGGCGGCAGGTGCCGTAAGCCGGAGAGAGGCAAACGCACTTGGGGGAAGAGAACACAGATGGAAAATAATGAGATATTACAAAGGAGTTACTGAGATGGATATAGAAACGGAAATATGCTTTGGTGCAGAACGGGCAAGGAATGATACAGAGAGAAAAAACGTAGGTTTCGTTATTTTTTTTTAGATTTGAAAGTATACAAGCAATGGTGACATCCCCACCCTTCCCTTAACCCTTCCAAGCTAGTAACAAGCTCTTATGTGCCTAAATTGCCATGTCTAACATTGCAAGATTGGGACAAACGTGCCCATTTACACACAACAAAACCTCACCTGCTCCATAGATATCATAAATCAAGCCTTCCACCAGAGTTTTGCCATAGCTTGATGAAGCGTTCTAATCCAAGCTCTTCTCTGAACGATGGAGCCGAACGGAATGTCTCGTTTTTAGAAAACAAAGCACAAGCCCAGCGTGTCACGACAGATAAATGTTTCTGACCGGGAGGGTCACAAAGACCTTTGGCTGCTTCAGAAAGTCACACTTAATTGAGCATTACACGTATGATGAGACTTTTATTGACCTCTGCTGGTCACGTTATCAAATCCGTACACCGGGATTGCACCAGGACGCCAACAACCTTTTGTAGTACATAAATAACACCCTGCACGTCTGTTCGGCTTTATTTGGAGGGTTTTGCAGACTCTTGAAACGTCAGACTAACAACTTGGCCTCTTTCTGCCACTTCCACATTTCTCAGCGACTGTAAGGGAACATTTTTTCCTGCACTTCTGTGCGTTTTGTGACCACAGTCTGCATCCGTTTGCTTTACTGTCTCCTCCCTTTCGGTTCAATTCAATTCAATTTTATTTATATGGCGCCACATCACAACAACAGTTTTTTCACAGCGCTTTCCAAACAGAGCAGGTCAGACCCTACTCTGAAGTTAACTACAGAAACCCAACAATTCCCACCATGAGCAAGCACTAGGCGACACAGGCAAGGAAAAACTTCCTTTTAACAGGCGGAAACCTCGAGCAGAACCATGGCTCAGGGTTGGGCGGCCATCTTCCTCGGCCGGTTGCCACATTTATTCTCTTGCTAATGGTCCACACCTAGGGATGGGGATCGAAACCCGGTTCTATCAAGGACCCGGTTCCACTTTTTTCAAAACCCGAAAATCAATAACGTTTGGGCTTATCGATACCACTATCGAGTCTGGTGGGTTTTTTTTTCTTCTCCCGGAGGTCCTGTAACATAATTGTGTGTCATCATCCACTCAGAGTACCACTGGTAAGCGCACACACAGACTTTGTAGCTTGTCCGGTCAGTTAAAAATAGTAATTGTGAGATCCGTTTTCTAATCGGCAGCATACAAGCTAGTTAGCTTGAAAAGTAAATAAAGTTTCAGACGTGCTGCGTGATGATGTGTTAAGATTGGCTCAGTAAAACGACAATTAGGTTATCATGATGCGTTCAAGTGTAACGTAAAGAAAAGGGAAATTGAGTTTTTGGCGAGAAACATGAGTAATACAGTTGTATATTGCTCTAATTGTTTTAGAATATATAATTAAACTACTGTTTAATATTTATTAAAAATTACATTTAATTTAAAATACAATTATTTATTTGTTAACCCTCTATGGCATGAATTTTTATTTTATGAGGAAAAAAATATTTCACCCTAGTTTTGGGAGTTTGAGGGGGTCTTTATAAAATATCAATCAGAAAATGTGCTCCACCCTGCCCCCCCCACCAGATTTTGGTTTGTTGTCTCAGGGCAACAACATGCTATGAGGGTACTAAAACGCCAAGGTTTTCTTTAAGTGGAATGATGAACAAACAAGCAATAAACACATTAGAAGAAGTTTAATTTCAACAACAACAATTTCAACAAGTTTCCTTTCAACAAACAGCCCCAAATGGTTTATCAATTAGTGCATTAGAAATTAGCTGCAGTCTAATCTCTTATTAGAAATTAGTGTTTCTAAATACATGTTTCTAAACATGTGTGTTTCTAAATACATGTTCCTGTGGGGTACTGAATGGCTCCGTGTTTCTCTTTTTTACAAAGTACAGTTTGTATTATTCTGTATGGAACCTCATGAAGCAGTTGCTGGTGGATGTGAAACAAAGGTGGGCGTCACATTTTTGGCACTTGGCTTTAGGTGTACCTTTGCATCTTGGTACCTTGCATCTCCCTTTCTTTTCATCCATGACCATCCAGTGAGCTGTGGCATCCAGACGCACATCAGGGACCGGGATAGGTGTAGTAGGTCCTCTTCTCCTCTTCTCTTCGTACTCCCCAGCAATTGTGGAACTGGGACGACCTCTCTTACGCTCCAGATTCTTTCCACTTTTGCACAAGCTTTCTGCAATATATGACTTGAATGTATAAAGCCTCATCTGTTCCTCTTTTCTCATCCCAGTGCTGCTGCAGTCTCTCTTGTAGAGCAGCCAGGCAGTCACAATGGTCATGTCGATAAAGTGGAACATCAGCCGATGGTACCACTTTTTCGACCTGATTTTGTTGCGGTACAGTGCAATGAGGGAGTCCAGCAGATCCACTCCACCCATATTCTTATTGTACTCTCTCACCACAGCAGGACAGGGAACTTTGATGATTTTTTTTTGCTTGCCATCCCACCTATCAACGTCGGTGACTGGGTGTGCTCCAATGTAATTGCTGAGAAGACTGACTGAACGGTTATCATACCATTTCACAGCATGCAAGGTGGTTTCTCCAACCATGGCCATCTTCTGTTCTAAAGATCCACGCCCAGTTCTCTTCAACTCAACATCACACATCAAGTTGACACCTGGTAGTCTGTTGCTACGAACAGTACCAGTACAGTGAATTCCCTGCTGAGCAAGTGTGAGAATGAGAGGGACACTCGTGAACCAGTTGTCAAAGAACACCTTGTAGTTCTGCTGTCTGGGTATTGGCTGGGCCAGGCGGAGGACAACATTGCCACTTGCTCCTATATCTGGCAGCTCAGGTGGTTGCACAACTCTCCCTGTGTAAATCTCAAAATTGTGCGGGACACCATCAGAGCCAGCCAAGATGAATATCTTGTAGCCCCATTTCTTTGGCTTAGCTGGCAGGTATTGCTTGAGTCTATTTCTTCCCTTGAAAGGGACCATCTGCTCATCCACAGCCAACTTCTCACTCATTGGTATTGTCTGCAGCTTTGAGGTAAGATGAGTGACCAGTGGTCGGATTTTGTGGAGTGGATCAATATTTTCTCGTTGTCTCACTTCATTGTTGTTGAAGTGCAGGGATTTTTTAATGAACTCCCATCTGTTAAGTGCCATGGTGTCAGCTACCTGGGACACTCGGGTGGCTTTGTTCCAAAACATGCGGGTGCCTGGTAATCCAAACAATGACATGTATACTGCTGTACCCATAAATTGTTCCAGTTCTTTTTTAGTGAGGTTAAGGGGCTTGTTGGTGTCACACTGAATGGCATATAAATTTGACTGCTCTAGAACTACTTCCAGAATGTCTTCAGAAAAAAACATCTTGAAGTATTTGTAGGGGGAATTGATATGATCTGATTTTGGAAGACTGGCCTGCCATTCTGGGTAATCAGTGATATTGGCACTGTGGGGTGTTCTCCAACGAGGTAAGCGTGGAACAGCTTCCTGTGATACTTCATCCTCTTCATTTTCCTCTTCATCCACAGACTCATTGTCATCAGGCAGGTCATCTGTTTTCAAAAGAAACCAGTAAGCATAAAATTAGAATAGGTTATATATACCTCTCTTCACTCACTGATGTACAAACGCACATACATGCTCATTTCATACAGTATGTTACTCTATTGACTGAACCCTGATCTCCCAACTCTCCCTCAAACCTGATTTTGGAGTCCACTCTTCCTCACTGTCACTCTCCTCAATCTCACTGTCCTCACTGTCAGAAGGAATGAGCCTAACCGCTTGATCATGTTCCTTACGCCCATAAAATCTTTGTGCATCCATTTCCTATGAGTAATAGTAGATAGTACAGAAAAAAATTGATTATGTTGATAACTACATGTCCCTACACATCTCCATCCATGAGCATGTTATAGTTCACACAAAAGTGGACTAACTGCACAATGTTGCCCTGAGGCAACGAATGAAAAACTGCCATTTTAGTATATAAATGAAGACAAAAGGTGTCTTTACTCAATCAAATATGCTTTTTCACTTATTCATGCACATCACAGATATTATTTATACAAAATTATTTAAATTTAAACATGTAAAAAAAATTAAATGTATCTTACTTTCTGCTAGCGGTGTGTCCAAGTCAGCTGCGGTCCAAAAAAAGGATTGTTTCACCCCAAGACAAAGGTCAAAGCCACGCCCAGCTCAAATTTCATTGGTCACAGACATATCATCAGATTTTTTATGTGGTGGTTTCCTTAAAAAAACTTTAAAGGGGCGGTGTGTGGGCCAAAATAGTGGTTTGTTGCCTGAGGGCAACACAATGCCATAGAGGGTTAAATATTGTTGCATCGTCTTTCCACCAAATAGAAAAATATCGATAGTGGTATCGATAAAGACTCGGATCGATAAGGAGTATCGATAAAGGTATCGATATCAGTAAATATTAACGATCCCCATCCCTAGTCACACCCCAGCCTGGCAGGGTACGAGGCTGACACGCCACTGCGTGCGCCAGGCTGCCTTTAGCTCAACCTTGCATACATTTTTAAGTCGGTAAGGTCAGGCGCGGCTTTAACTGTCCGTCGCTGTGCTCGTAAAATAAATAAATAAGTAAAAATAAACTGCAGAGAGAGCAGAACTCATCCTGGCTGAGCCCACTCCAGCCAGAGCTCCATACCCCATGCATCAGGGTTAGGATTTGGACTTGAGAGGGGGTGACGGCGTGGTAAATGCGCGCTCGTCAATCGGGAAAATGCATATT